TATATTTAATAAGCAATGCATGGTTGTTGATCACCACGATAAGATTTTATGTGATCTAATGTTACACACTGTGGAAGTTTCTCAATGGTGGTTTAATCTCCCTCCTTTGCTTTGACAAGAAAAAGACACAGACAATAGATTAAGCATGAGCTATGTCCACAGAAGCAGATAAAAAAAAATCACATGAAAAAGTACATTATTAATGATCAAAATGTGTTGTTTCTCTTTCCATCCAGCGACTGTGTCCATGAACTTTTAGGCCACGTCCCTATGCTGGCGGACCGCACATTTGCACAGTTTTCCCAGGTAAGGTAGTGCGCAATCCAACTGCAGTTCATTTATGACAACAGACATTGATGACAATTTGCTCCTAAATCCTAATTTTAGACCTATGTTCAAATGTGCCAAAGATAATATTCAGTTCTGGTCTGATTTCCAGGTTCCAATAGTGGATTCTACATTTTGGTTCCTTAATTTAGCCATTTAAAAATGTGTCAGACAATATTGAGCATTATTGGTGTTGAAAAGGCAGATTTTTTTATATGGAAGGCATTACAGTGCACAAGTGTTTAAAAAAACAAAAATAACAACAACAAAAAATTAACTGGTGGTGAGCCACTTTAAGCGTCTCTGTATCAAAACCTCATTGGATTATTTTCTGCAGAATCTTGGCCTGGCATCATTGGGTGCGTCAGATGAAGATATTGAGAAACTCTCCACAGTAAGAGCGACAGTGCACGTGCCTTTGTTTTGCACATACTAAATTTGTCAGACTGTAATGATTTAACTTGTTAGATAAACTCAAGTACTATAGATAATTCACTTTTCATGAAATACGTTATTTGCATGGTTCTTCTTCCAGCTGTATTGGTTCACTGTGGAGTACGGCTTGTGCAAACAAAATGGTGAAGTGAGAGCTTATGGTGCAGGACTACTTTCTTCATATGGAGAACTTGTGGTAGGTTCCAACCTCGTCTGTGTTTTGATTTTTTTTCTTGATTAAAGATGATGCAGCAATCAAATCCACCTTGTATTCATTTCCTCTCCGTGCAGCACTCGCTATCTGATGAACCGGAGACGAGGGAGTTTGATCCAGAAGCTGCAGCAGTGCAGCCCTACCAAGACCAGACCTACCAGCCCGTCTACTTCATTTCGGAGAGTTTTTCAGATGCAAAGGAGAAATTCAGGTACTGCCATCTTGCGTGGACGCAAAGCGTTTGCAAATGCACAGCTGAAGAAAGGAAGAGGAGCAGAAGAAAAAAAAAGACGCAGACAGAAGGGAGAGAAAAAGGTTATGCAAAGGCAAGGTCAGAAAACAGCCATCCAACCCCAGAGGCCACAAGCGTTTGTCGGTCAGCCAGAAGACAGCTGTTACTAATGTAGGCCCTCTCACCATAGCAAAATACTGCCGTTTTGTTTGGCAAACACATCAAATGCTGCCTTGCAAAACAAGTAGCTTTGGTGAGTGTTTTGACAGTATTTAGTCACACTCCATATGAAAATAGCAGCAGGGGAATGTTTATCCAAACAGAATTGATACGAACAAAAGTACAATGAATATCACTACATAGGAGAATATTTCTGATGTGCACATTTCATTTTCTGTATACAGGCATAGCGTGCTGTAAGGCCAAGTGAAACATTTATGCTCCACATTTCATCCACCAATCCATTTTTTTACCGCTTATCCTGCCACAGGTGAGCTGGAGCCTATTCTAGCTGACTTTTGTTTTTTTGGGGAGCATGTCAGCACAAACATCAAATTTTTCTGAGAAATCAAACAACCCTGCGATACATTTATAACAAACAAGTAGAAAAAATGATCATGACAAAAAAAAAAAAAAAAGAAAAAAGACATCCACGTGTCATCATTTGCAACCTTTTTATATATGCTGCTCAAAAACGGAGTGGGAACGAGAAAAATGATTAAATCCCAACCCCATCTCACATTTATATTACAAGTCATAAATCGTAACTTTCACTTCCCGAAGGGTTAAGTTAGATCTCTACAAGTCCTACGAATATAGGAAACACAGTAAGAAAATTGATGTGTTTTACACATGCCGATGATAAAAATAATGGTCTGCATATTTTTAAAAAACTGTAATGATTAGTAATAATGACATACAAACAATGGTAATAGAAACAAATATACCAACATGGTAAACAATAGCATACTTTAGGAAAGCCTTCATTCCCATTCACACCTATGGACACCTTGGACTCCTCAATAAACATAACATACCTGTTTTGGGGTGCAAAATGTGCACACACACAGGAAAGTCTGAGCCGAGATTCAAACCCAAACCCCTCCACCGGTCCATTCAGAGTTCAAATGCTGCTTAACCTTTATTTTTATGGCTCTCTTTATGTTAAATCAGGGCATTTGTTGCTGGTATCCACCGTCCCTTCTCAGTGAAGTTCGATCCATACACCAGCAGCATAGAAGTCCTGGACAACCCTTTGAAGATCCAAGGAAGCTTGGAAGGAGTGAAGGATGAACTGAAGATGCTAACTGATGCCCTCGGTGTTCTGTCCTGAAATTTCACTCTTTAACTTCCTGTCCTTTCACCCCACCTTGCTGTTGTTTGCTTCTTGTCTGATGTGCTCTGCAACACCGAAAGTGTGACAAGATGTGTGTGTTTGGTACCTCCACTTCTATGGAGTTTATCATGAAAATGTCATCTCCCTGTAGCTGTTCTAAAAAAGACTGCAACCATTTAAACCTCAATGTCCACATTTAAGACGATATTTCCAAAGATGTTCAGTGCCTCTCATGGTGTAGAGACAATAATGGCCATACAGTCTGTAAAAAAAAAAAAAAAAAAAAGAAGTGTCATGTTAAAAAATAAAATGAAATGTATACCAAAATCAATGATGTGTGTTTAAGAAAAGAGTATAGTTTGATTATTTTATAACCAGCAACATAATACAGTATCTAAGATGGGAAGGTGAGACTGTATGAAATAAGATCTAATTGTGTCATCTGTATCTGCTATATGAAAAATGCTGGATGCGAATTAAGTATTTTGGCTATTATTATTTAAAATTGTCAATGTCTTTTATGTGTTGCAGTGTCAATGCATGATTAAAAAAACACGCACACACACCAATATGATGAGCTGTTTGTTGATTGCTGCTTTACTATAAATCTAAATTACCTAGAAACAATGAATTCACATTTTGGGCTCATTTCTGTCTCCAACCATTCAAAACATTCATTTTCCATGCCACTTGTCTTGTCCTCATTTGGGTGCCAAGTAAGCGAGTAAGCTGCAATGTATCCCAACTGAATTTGTGCAAAACACGGTGTTTACTCTGGACAATCGCAAGGCCTATATTAAAAAAATAATTCATTTCATCTCACATGCATGTTTTTGGAACGTGGAAGGAAGCAGAAGTGCCCGAAGATAACCCATGCAAGCACAAGGCGAACATAAAAACTCCACGCAGGGGGACCTGAGCCGAGATTTGAACCTGAGACCTCTCAACTGTGATGCAGACCTGCTAGCAACTACCCTACTTTCTGTGCATTTTTTCCACATGACATTATCCGTTATCTTGTGGTTAAGCAGAGCTAACACCGAATGAAACAGTGTTAACAACAAATTTTAATCAGAGAATGTTTTATGTGTCACTAAATGTATTTTTGATGCTGAATTCCAAAATATATTTACTTTTTTTCCAGCACATCAGGTTTTTGAAATCTTTTCATTTTTTATGTGTTTAAATTTGACCTATAAAAGCTTGTGCATACAGGTTTTACCTTGCATTGTAATTTATGGCTCTGACATTTCAGTAAAAAAATCCACATGTTGCTGAACCTTAATCTTAATACAGATATATTCCGAAATATATTACCATTCATATTATTATTATTATATGATGTATTTTTATGAGCCCCCTGAAAGGTTCATACAGTACTGTATTACCTTCTTGACAACGTACTTGCATTGCAATATTTTGCCACAGGAGGGTACTGTTAACCAGTAATTTTAAGGGTATGGTCCTTCAGGGCAAAAAACGGCTTGTTGATGAACCATCCTGATACCATTCATGGGTTCTCAAAAAAAAAAAGCATAGGCAATGGAACGTAAAATTTATTAGCATCACTAATTAGTCATAAGGGTTTGTGTTCATATCAGCTGCTCCTGTTGGTCCGATCCCAAGTCATAAAGTCAGAATTGATATAGGCAGCATAACTCCAGGGGCAACCGTTGACAAACAGGGGGATGGGGGGTGAGGGGTTTCGATCAACGACCGCTCGATGACAGGGTAAGGATGACATCATGCCTACATCTTCACCTGCTGTGCTCGGCACTCTTAGATAAGTCAGTTTTGCACTTTGTGAGTGACGTCATTCCAGTTTCTTGAATTATTTTGATGAAACACAATTTAAAGGTCATATTGAGTGTTTTCCTCATTGCTTTGTTTTTCTTACCTCTCCCGTCCTTCCTCACTGGGGGGCGGTTTGGGGGTTGTTTATGTGTGTGTGTGTGTGTGTGTGTGTGTGTGTGTGTGTGTGTGTGTGTGTGTGTGTGTGTGTGTGTGTGGAGGGGGGGGGGCAATCATGAGTGATATACTCCGGGGCTCGACTTTTGGGTGCATCAATCGGTCACTGAGAGGCACTGCTGCACCACTCTCCTCCTGGCAGCGTATCACCGCTCACTGACATTTTACCCCTTGGTCAGTCAACAAAAGTTGACCTCATCAACCAGACGCACTGTTTTAACATGGCCTGCGTGCAGTGATGTGGAGACATGGGCTTCATTGACTGGATGATGCGAGGTGTCCCGTGGAGATCGTTTTTCTCTGTGCGCAAACGTTGCTGAACATGATCATAAGATGTAATCTTGCTTCAAGGTCTTTCTTTTTCCTCGTTTCTCTTCTAAAGAACTTTTGTGTAAGACATTTACGTGTTTTTTTAAACCGCGACGTGAGGAGGGGCGGAGCGAGGGGTGGAGTGTGGGTGTAAAGTGGGCGTGTTTTGGTATATAATACTTCTCCCTCAGAAGTTTGGTCTGTCGCCTCGGTCTCTGGGACAGCCTCTCACACACCATCTAACTTACCAACTGGGGAAACTAACTCACCTGCAAGCACCCGACCACCAAATCAGACAAATATTAATTTTCTTTCAGTTTTGTTATTTTTGTTTTGTGTTTAACCACTCACTGCCCACTGTCATGGAGACCCTGCGATCGAGACCCGGACACAACTCATTTTGCCACACTTGCAGGACAACGGAGGAGAGCAGAAGGAAGGTTAGCAAGAATCATCAGTAAATTTTACATATGCATTTTCTGATGACGTTTGCACGTGGACCATTAATTAAAATGAAATAACTTGAGAATATTTTAAAACATGAACGGACTGCTTATTACTTGCACAAGGTCAAGGTGCCCGTATTAATTAGGGACATTTAATGCAAAAGACAAACCGAAAGGATCAACATTTGTGCTAATTCCGTGTGCCGGCTGGTGCGGGACTTGAAGCAAAAAGCTGGTCTTATTTGCCGGCAGATAGGGGGCGGTAAGCGAGGGTCAGTTTGCTCAATAAAGGGTGAGCATGGGGAAAAAACAAATGCTGAGTCTCTCTTTTCTGATGGTTAACTATCGAACAACCGCGCTTGCAAAGTCTGGCATGTTGTGCAAGAGGTATAATGGCACTTGTCTAGCAATTTTCCTCCATAATAAGATCTTCTTCGGTGCCGAGTTGGGATTTAAAAGTGTGCAAGACAAAAAAACGGCAGATGCACCGTGTCGTCATTAATTAAATGCTTTGTCTGCAAATCCACCTTTGCCACGTGTGTATGTGTGCGGTTGCAGGTCAAGAAGATGTCTTCATCCAGCCGTTCGTTGCTCTTTGCACTGGCGCTCACCCTCTATGCGGTGGAGATGACCTCGGCGGAGACTCTGTGTGGGGGAGAGCTGGTGGACGCGCTGCAGTTTGTCTGCGAAGACAGAGGATTCTATTTCAGTACGTTTGTGCGCACGTTGGCCTTTAGTCATTTGCGTGGATGTGCGCAAAACAAACAAACAAAAAAAAGAACAAAACACCACGGTTGTTTGCATAGGTGACTGAGACCGTTTACTCCGTCTGTGTTTCTGGGCCTCGCGCATACATGGACACACGCACATGCACAAGAGAAGGGGACAGCTGTGTCTCCAGTGTTATTAGTACGATGAGCACCACAGGCCTGCGCACCGCACTGTACCTCTCATTGCAAATGAAAGTGAAGAGCCGTGAAGCCACATTCAACACAATGGGCTGCTTGTTAACCAGTAAAGTACAGTAACAGCACTCCAAGAGGCATATCTCTCACCACCAGCCTAGTATTCACAGAGCAGACCACCGTGGTCCGAAGAGTTTATTTTTTTTTTAACCCTAGATCATGAAATCTATGTGGCATAATGATGGCAAACCGTGTAAACCTTTTTGTGTTTGCATTGAGATGGGTTGTTCATCCCCAACTGTCGCGACTCACATCCATATATTGTATACCCACTAAAAAAGCTTTCACTTTTAACCGACAAGCAAAGTTTTATTACATGGCTTGTTTTTTTTTTTTTTTTAATCACAGATCACTATCCAATTTGGATGCTTTCTCCTCCCTTGTTTTTTTCTCTCCTTTCACTTCCCGCAATCAAATCTCGTCAAGTGTCTCGTGAGATTTCTCCTACATTGTGTGGAGTGCAGGACTTCACACGAGTCCTTTCTTGACCATGCACGGCGGTCCCCTGTGGAACATTCAAAACACTCACCCCTTTCACCTTCTTCTGTGGTGTTTTTCTTTCCCGTCATTACTCAGTTCCCCTTTTGATTTGCATTCGCCTTCCGTGTCTCAAGGCTCATACACTCTTGCACTGATCCCTCGGGCTGTTTTCTCTACCTCTCTGCCCCTCCTCATCCTTGTTATCGCTGCTGACTTGACAAAGGACAAGGTCACAGAGGAGTTTCCATTTTATGTATTTGCTCACCTAAGGGACAGGCTTCTCTGGCCCACGACATGGTGTTTACATGCGCACAAGAAGGGACATCCAGATAGCCCTCGTCAGATTATCTTCTGCAAACAAAAAGATTTGTTGCATTTGGTCGTAGATTTCCTGTTATCCTCTTTGCTCGGATCTGATTGTAATCCTGCAAAAACAACCTAGATTCGTTTCTGATCAAAGTCTGCGGTCCCTGCAGTAGGCCTTCTTTGCCTTACACTACCCTATGCTTCTCCTCAGGTAGGCCCACCAGCAGGGGGAACAACAGGCGCACCCAGAACCGTGGGATAGTGGAGGAGTGTTGTTTCCGTAGCTGTGACCTCAACCTTCTGGAGCAGTACTGTGCTAAACCCGCCAAGTCAGAAAGAGACGTGTCGGCCACCTCTCTACAGGTCGTACCGGTGATGCCTCCATTAAAGCAGGTATGCGTCACAGCAACAACAACACGGCGGTCTGGGAACCAGTGAAATCCTATTCCTCCCATCATGTTGTCCTCTGTTCACCTCTGCCTCACCCCTATATCCCTGACACGCTGTACAGGCTGAAATGTACGCGCAAACCGCTCTATCTTGTTAGATGGTCTAACGATAAGCAGTTCCATGCAGAGTGCTGACCATCGTGGAAATCGACCAGACAGTCTTCAGCACATTGCGATCAAGAAAGTGCATGCTCACATAGTGACTGCTGGATCCTGACCAAAAAAAAAAACACACACACAAAACAAAACCAAAAAAAAACCCCCAGTGTGTTCAAAGTCAAAGATTATTCCATTCATGCAACTTTGAGTTCTCTGAGTCTGGCATGTGTTTAGATTAAATAAAAATGAAATAGAAATAAGCCCTGACCAAGCCCTTACAGTCGCCTCAGTTGTTTAAGAGTTGTTTCACCAAGGCCACCAGAAGGCATAGTAATGGCTGCGTTCCCGACCTTTTACAATCCCTTTCTGCTTGGTCATGTTCACGTGTCAGTGACAAGCAGTTGAATGAACAGTGCCATCGTAAATCCATCGAAGAAAAGTAACAGGGCCTCTAATACGGAGGGGGAAAATGCCGATTGGGAATTAGTTTGGACATGTCCCTGGTTTGTCCGGGCGGGGAGAGTTGATGGGTACAGCCTGCTCTGAGGGCCAGCTGTTCTTAAGCTATTGAGCGACCCTCAAGTGAATGAAGGGGGATAAACACTCTTCAAGTGGCAGGACCAAAACAAGCCATTCACATGGATCACTGGCTACTGGCGCATAAATTCCAGCCCTCCTGCTTCCGTTCCTACTTGTTTCTCATTCAGTGGTACTCAGCAAAACACCTAGTATTGTTAAATTTGCAATGTTTGTATTGTTATTCGCTATGCAGCAGATTGGTCATTCAGCCGGTTGTTTGGTGAGCATCTGCATGCCCCCTCATATGTATATGAGACAAGCGCCCATCCTTTTCACAGTTTGTTAAAGAGGCCGAACTAAGCACTTGTTGACAGCTTTTCTCAGTCGAGGAAACCAAAACAAGTAGCGTTTGGAAGCCGGCCAAGGCCGTTATGACGTGCCGCATTGAGAATCACATTTGAATAGCCTCAAAATAAGCATAGCGCTTCCAATGAACTGACTCCATCTTCTCCCTTTTTCTCCTGTGTTTTTACCGGCGCGCCACGAAAGGAAGCCCAGAGGAAGCCGCATGTGCCCGTGAAGTATTCCAAATACGAGCAGTGGCAAAGGAAGGCGGCCCAGCGGCTCCGGAGGGGTGTCCCCGCCATCCTGAGAGCCAAAAAGTTCCGAAGGCAGGCGGAGAAGATGAAAGCCCAGGAGGAAGCAAGCTTCCACAGGCCCCTGATCAGCCTGCCCAGCAAACTACCACCCGTCTTGCTCACCACGAACAACTATGTCAACCACAAATGAGCCCGTTGCCAGCCCTTTGCACAGACAAGAGTTTGGAAGGACAAAAAAGCCTAGGGGATTATAGCTTTGTCTCTGACGTCATTTCTGTGGCAGTCCTCTTTGACCTCCCCTGCCCTGTCCGAGCCCACCAGTACCCCCAGCCCATTCTCATCCACTACTTCTTGACCCCCTGCCCCCTTTCTAATACCCCTCGAACCATACCGCCATCCTACGGAGCACAAACATGCCTTCACATTCTTCCTGTCTGAACTTTTTTTTTTTTTTGCGAGCTCTTTCAGTCACCGACACAAAAGGCGCAAACACAAATGATGAACAAAAAGTTAACAATTCGACTGAATGCCATTCAGGTGGACCCGTAAGCAAAAGAATAAATGGAAGAGAGCAAGAAGATGAAAGAGGTCTGTGGTTTGCAAGTGTCAAGAGGACACCCAACGGAATGGTTTTTTTTTTTTTGTGTCCTTGTGGAACTCAAAGAAATGACGAGCTTGCATGACAGTATCCATTCCACGTTTTTTTCCTGAAGCAAAAAAAAAGAAAATCTGTTCGTTTTTTCTTTTTTTTTCCTTTTTTTTTTTTTTAGTTTGCACCTCTACCTATAAAGGGACTTCCACACTGTAAGGAATTATTTTATAAAATTAGATTCCTGTTCCAGCACCTTTTGATCACAAACAAAAAGCAGAAAAGAGTCTGCAGAATTGCACATTGCCACGGATTACGTCAAAGTAAAGAAAAATATATGGCACTATTTTTTTATGAACAATGGACGCGTTGCTTCAAAAATGCCATGGTGCTAGCTTTGGGAAAGGACTCAAAGAAGAGGTTGAAAAGCACGTTTGTTTTTTTTTTCTTTGAATATATTATAACTTTCCGTTTTAAGGAAAGTGTGACTTTAAAAAAATAGGGAGAAAGAATATGGGGGAGCTCCTGACAGTGGCAAAGTCAAGGGGGAAGTGTCACTGAGAAACTATGGGGGCGATGAGGGCATCAATGCTCAAGGGAAGTGCGAGTGGCTGCTCATCACAAGGAGGACAAGAGACCCTGGCCTTGTCCCTCCTGTCTCCCGTCCCGGAGGCAGATGGACACAGGGAACATAATATGGGACACACCATGGACTGCCTGGATTGGGACAGTACAATCGTCCTGGGACAGTACTTCCTGTCTGGCTTTGCGGACTGCTCCGGCAGGAGGTATCATGGCATGGACAAGTGGGATAATTGATGATTTTATTTTAGTTTCATCTTATTGTTTCTTGCTTTCTTTTCATATCAATATTTCAATGAAAAAAAAAAGAACCCCACCCCCAGCCGTCTGTTTCTGGTACCATGACATTCCTGTTTTTCGAAGTTAGGCAATTTCATGGTTATGTTATATGATGTTACTTTTACCGTTCTTAAAAAAAAGGCACAGACATTTTGATTCAAAGGGATAAAACAGCAATAATGTCAACTAACATTTATTTTTATTGTATATCAGTAGTATTCACATGCGTTTGCCTGAAAACAAATACTTGAATATATCTATCTATACATGTATAAAT